GACGCCTGCTAATTTATTCCACATCCTTCGTCGACAAATCGCGATGCCATTTAGAAAGCCGGTATATTCTGTTTTATCTTCTTTTGTTTGTTTATGTGCAATCTTTTTCGTGAAATTGTTCAATTTAATTGTTATAAGATTGACTAAATTTTGTTTTTATTTCTCTTTTTATTCCTTTAACTGACCATCGATGACATTTTTTTATTATATGTCTTTACTTATATTCCATAGAGTTTTTAAGTGTGCTTATCCTAACCATAAACAGTACTTTCTGCTCTTTCTTTGATAGCTATTCTTGTATAGGCCTCTTTTTCCAATAAATATTTGCTTTATTAAGCTGTACTTATAAATATTAAGGGATAATTTCTTTGAATAGCATAGGGTTTAGTGAAACATTATTTTTATGCTTTTATAACTCCTGACAGTTTCAACTAAGAAGTAGGCGTCATAAGGCTTCTGTTTTTATTTTCTTTGAATATTTTATTTAAACTGATCATCTGGTAGATCATTTGTCTGATAACATCACTTAGTTGTGATCGAGGGGCATGTTTGAGCCTAGAGTTATCGCTTTAATTTACCCATATCTCTTGCATTCGCTAAGTAGTCTGTCAAATTTAAGGCTTGCAGATTTCCATATAATGAATGTTCATTAAGGCCAATTTCGGGAAACTTATTGCGTATTTAAAGTTTCTTATCATGAATTCCGACTTAGTCCTGTGTCATCTGCCATTATATTCGTGATTTTCAGCTGCGGACCATTATTATGAAACCTTTTTATTCATTTAGGTGCTAAGACATGACATGAAGCATGATAAAATATTTTTGTATTTTACACTCAGAACTCAAGGCTACAAGTTCACGATTAACGTTGCTTTGTTGAGTTTATTCCCATTTCGATTGAAAGTGTTTGGTGAAGAGATTTGAAGGTCGATCCCGCCAGAATATTAGGGCGGATTCCTCTCGACTAGCTGTCGATTGGCTTTACTAAAACATTCTTGTTGACGATGTTTCCGACCTAATCTTCTTTTTCTCCGATGAAAACGTGCTAAGCTATCGTCTGTCGTATGACAAACATCATCGGAGCAGGGTATCATCCTTACAACCATATTCAAGCTAACGAGTCAGGAAAACTTTTCGGCTTATCTATAAAAAGTTGTATATATACTGTATATCTGAACTCCTTGATGAGGCATATAATGATTTGGTTCATTCCAGTCATGTCAACTTCGGAGTAGTGATGGCTCAGAGTAATTAGGATGACAAAAGCAACGTTTATTCTTAGCCATCAAAGTTTCTTGACCACCATAACCCCTCGGTATATATTTTAACCTTCACTCCTATTGCGCGAGGTCGGACACACTTCTGGTTATGTTGAGCATTTTTTTAATCACGTGAGAGAGAACGAGTGAGCTTAGGGTACAGAGAAGTAATCGTGATTAGAACCAAGACAAGATAAGACTAGTTGCGTCGCCTCATTTTTGCAGGATGCTCAACACCCTCTCTACGCTTAAGTCTATTAATTAAGCATCAGTTGTTTCCCCAAAATAGATAAATGAAATAATTTCTCACTTTACTTTTAATTCGTCTTTATGCGTCTCTTATTGCTTGAATTTTTGCCGCAGTCGATTTTATGATCACTGTTTCCTCACCTGTTCCACATGGACAACATTTTTCCTCACCAAATCATCTTCAAATCTTACTATAGCCTGTTGAACTTACACTGACTTATTAAATATTAGCAGTCGCATGCTACCACATAAATGAAATTGGTTGTATGAACACTTGCCTTCTTATTTGATCTATTTGCTGAGTTCTCTTTGAATATTACAGTCACTTATTGTTTTTTAATACATGTATGTAAGCTGTCTCACAGGATATGGATTTTGTTTCAAATTTCCAGTTGGTCATTTTCACTCCAAAATCTCTACTTCGCCTACCCGAGGCCAAATCCTCATTTGATGATATGCTTCCCGGTTCTGAATTCAAACGCGTTATCCCGGATACCGGACCGGCATCCCAGAATCCAGAAAATGTGGCTAAACTAGCGTTATGTTCAGGGAAGGTAAACTTTTTCATTCATGTTAATTTTACGTCGTGCAAATGGTTGATTTGATGAAATATTTTACCTCACCGAATGTGTTCAACTTAGCAAAATTTTAACCTTAGAGACAGATTACAATTTGTTTGGATTTTTGGGTTCCAAACGTGCTTATTATGTAGAAAAACTTGGCTTTAAACACATGCACGCTTTAACTCCAAAGTTGGAAACCCAAAAGGAATGGAGAAAAGGCAAATTGGCATTAGCAAGTTTCCTATTTAGCAACCCCTGATAGCAGTATGGGGACTGACAAAAGAAAGACAATCATTGAAGGCAGCGCGAAATAGAAAAGTATAAATTCCGCGGGTACAAAGCCAGAAATCACGAATACCATGGCAGAGGACACGAGACTAGGTACGTTCCACAAGGTTTCCCTGACGCTACCGCTAAGTTTCAAAAAGACGGTCGAACTAAAGGTGCTAAAGGAGACTGCGACCAAACACAAAGCGACATAATCTTCGTCTTCCCATCTACGACCTAAACAGTATGTTAGTTAGTGTTAATTCGACCTTGTGAAACGTACCTAGTCCCGTGTCTTCTGCCATAAAATTCGTGATTTCCAGCATTGAACCATCGGCTAGGTACATTCCCAAACGTTTCGCTGGCATCGTCAGTGGGAGGTGCCATCGTGACAACAGAATTACAACTTATCAAAGTGTCAAGTGAAGGCGATCTCCTTGACCAATTTTCTGTTTAACCGTTGTGGCATCCCTCCTCGCCTCTATTTTTTGTCCTACCCTATGGCTGCATCTCTTTCTCTCAGCTCCACTTCATATGACCCATCCACTAATTCATACAATTATGTGTTCTCGTTTCCTCTAATGCAGTCTAAGAGTGTGTCGCTACAAGCAAGTGAGTTTACTAAAGCGTAATCTTCATCACTATCGGTACCAGGTATCGTTTGCAGGGCTCCTGACCTACATTCTGCCCCCCCTTTTTCCTACCCACTTGTCAATTAGCGCTGCTAAACATCAAAATCACTCAGTCATATAGGTAGGAAGACTTAG